TCAATCCCTAATATGAAATTAAAACTTCCTATCAGGCCATCTATATTTTTAAGTTCAAATAAATTTGATGGAAAAGTTCCATTATTTGAACAACCTAATTGCTTAAGACACGTGCACTCTACACTTTCCAACAATGAAGGTTGAGAAAAATCTCACATCAACTAAATCAAATTAATTATCAGCTTGCATCACATCCTTCCTCCACCAATCAAATCTTACAAGCATCCAACAAATTGAAGAAGAAAAAAAAGGAACTTGTGAAGATTATAACTGTTTATGCATTCTACAAAAGCCTTTACAAGTTAATTACAAGACCTAAACTTCCCATAACGACTTTACTTCTGACACAAGCTGAAATTTGATGTTGAAAACTGAAATTGTAGTAAAAAGAGAAATAATATTGGGCAATTGTGTCATGCTGTCTCTAATCATGTGATGGTAAAACATTGTGATCCTTTTATAAATGTTCTTCATCCAAATCTTATTTCTCTACAAATTTTATTATCTCTTTGATCAAGAAATATTCATGGTTGTTGAAACTGTGAGATTGGAGGAAGTAAAAGCCTAAAATAAATAAACTAACATAGAAGCAATCATGGTTTCACTGTGAAGAGAAATGTAAAGAAAGAAAAAACGAAACCTCACGATATTGACGCGGAGGAAAAAAAGAATTCAATCTTGTTCCCACCCTTCGTCTCAAGTACGTGATCCTTCAAGTTCTTGTCCCTGCTCACGCCGAAAATCACCACCCTCCCGTCCTATCCCGCGAAATCTAAATTTTATTCGGTATTTTCCAATCAAAAATTAAGTATAACAAGTATAAAAACAGGAAATGTAATGATAAATATAAACTTCAATTTTGATAGAAAAGTACGTAGGAATTGAAAATAGTTACAGAAATGAATCGAAGTTTGTTGATAGTTAGAAATGTAATGATAAATATAAACAAAAATTTTAAAAATTATATATAAAATAGGCGTTATCATCTAATTTAAGTCCCAAATCACTCAAACAATACAGAACCAAAAGCAAATGTCCAAAAGATACACAATGTACACGTGAACGTGGGAACAAATTAGGCAAAAATGAAAAAAAATGTTGGTACAAAAAAATAGAACGCGTACAGATCGGGGAATCAGTGAAGCAACATAGAACGAAAAGCAAATAATAGACACAAACGACAAAAACGCGGTTGAGATGCAGAGGAAAAGCTAATAGCGAAAATAGATCAAGATTGAGCATGAGAGGAGATAATGTATAAAGAAATGGAGGGATTAAGGTTGAGAAATGAAACCTGAATGTCGTGTTGAAGACAATAAAGCTCCCAGAAGGCGTTTCCAATCTGAATGCCAGCCTGGCCAATGGGGATTGAGATGCACTCTCTCATTGTTGCTGGCGAAGAAGGAAGATCGAAATGGAAAATAAGGAAGAGTGAAACCCTAAACAAACCTTCGAGAATGGAGTCTTTCTCACTCGTGCTTATCAAACTCTAAACAAATAACAGTGAGTGTTTCATTGAGCAACAACCCACAAGAGCAGCAAATGTGTACAAACATTCTGCTATAGAAGAGAGAGAGGGGTCAAAGAGAGAAAGATGCAAAAAAGAAAAGTGACCCGAGAAAAGGAATCTAGGGTATCAAATTTTTTCCACCGATTAGAGTGTCTAACTGGTGTTGAAAAAGTTTTTCAACATCACATTTTTGTGGTCACATTATTTTTATACCTATTATAGGTTTAGAAAGAATATTTTTTTACACCTGTTTTAAGTGTAATCGGTATGAAACTTTTTATTATTGTCCTTACGTCATTTTTTTACCTGTTTTTTGATGGAATAGGTATAGAAAAATTTCTTTTATTTACGATACTGCCACTATATCACTTTTTATACCAAGTGGATTTTAGCAGGTATAAAAAGGCACTATAAAAAAACATATTTTACACTAGTGGTTGAAGCCTAACTTAACCCCACAAACCGGCTTGTATGATGAGGTTTGCAGCCCACTTATATATTATAAATTGGCCTTATCTCTAGTCTATGTGTAACTTCCAACACACGCCCCTTCACACCGAGGTATAGACATATCAAGTGTAATAATAGAAATGGGTGGTCCGATAGTGGTCAGACAACGGGTGGAAACAGAAAATATTAGAAAGTGGTTTGAACCCTAACTAAACCCCATAAATCGAATTTTATGGTGACGTTTGCACTCCACTTATGTATTATAAATTGGCCTTATCTCTAATCGATGTGGGACTTCCAACACACCCCCTTCACACCGAAGTATAAATATTTTGAGCGTAATAGTAGAAATAGGTGATCCAATAGTGGTTCGACAACGGGTGAAAATAGAAATGTCCACATAAAACTTGCTATGATAGACTCTAAACATGACTTTGATACCATATTAGAAAAATAAATTTTAAGCCTAAATCAACCTACAAAACCGGCTTGTAAGATAAGATTTACAGCTTGTATATTACCTTATAAATGGGACTTCCAATAACACACGTTAACTTAAACATACGATATGACTTAATCAAACTTCAGGGCTGAAGTATGAGAGTTACTGAATTACTGCTGCAAGTAGAAGAAGACTCTGGTTGACTTCACAGCTAAAACACGAACATTCCAGAGAAATTCGATAGCATGTGCGACTCAGTCATCTAATTGGTTTTACTAGTGGACCAACATGCACCGAGGTTTCTTTTTCCTTATTTATTGTCATTTTCTCGCATAACACGTTAGTTTGGATTGGTTGTCTGACTATGTTTTGTCTAGTTTACATCATAAAAGTTATGGCGTTGTTCAGTTTATTTGTTGATAAATACAACTTTGTTAATAAGTAAATTACATCTATAAGTAAATTTGTTAATAAATACAACTTATCAAGAGATATTTTATTGATAAATCAAAAAATATTTGTTGATAATATTATTTATTGACAAATACTATATTATAAAATAATCCATTAATAATTTAAGTTTTTATTATAATATCACGTTTTGTGTTTTTTTTTTTTATCAAAGATGTTAAAATATGAGAGTGATGCATAATTGTAATTTGTAAACAACTAAAATTTAAAATTTTATAATTTGTAGACTAACACATCATAATTTAAAATACATAAAATCAATGTTATTGACGAATAAATGGTTCATTATATAATATGTGATGGAAAGAAAAAAAATCAGGTGAATTAGTTTTTAAATGAAAATTTATTCATATATTTTTTTCCTCACCAGGTTTCAAATATTACAATTTTTTTAATGCACTTTTACTTTTTTATATTTACAAACAAAAATATTTCTACCTTTTTTCCAATAATTATATATATATATATATATATATATATATATATATATTTGTACATATAGATAGATATTTAATTTCAAAATTTTTCAAAGTTATTGATTATTTAAATATAATTTATAATAATTTGTAATAAAATAAATTGTTTTAATATATTAGTAATTATTTATATAATCTAATTAACATTTATTTATTTTCAATGGTATAAATTATCTATATTACAAACTTTTCACTTTCTTTTTTTACTCAAATTCATTCACTTTGTTGCATCCAAATAATTTCACTATTTATTCTTTTTCTCTCTCTTTTTCTTTCACTTTTCATCTTCAATTATATCCCGAGAAATTATTAATGTCTTATCTATAACCAATCAATTAGTGTCGTGGAGAGACTGAAAGTAGCAATAGCTAGAACAAAAGTAGATGATAAACTAAATAACCTCTTAAGGTCAAGTCTTCTCCGCGTTCTTTTTTTCCACATAATAAGTTCTAAAACTTCATTGTAGTCCTTGCGAGTAAACATTTTAAAATAATTTAAAGTATGAGATTAAATTTTTGAAATTATTTTAAGTTACCTTAATTATACTTTAATATGTATGTATATTTATTGATGTGCTTGTTTCCTTTTGTGTAATAGTTTTTATTTAATTTAATTTCGTACTGTTACATTCATAGAGTAATTATTACTGATTTGGTAAAATGCACATAGTAAATCTAACTTTAATTTCGACCAGTTTATTGAATAGTGCTGCCAAAATCATGACTTAGTCGTATGTGTATATATCTGACGCGTGTAAATTTGATAGATACCATACACTTGCAACTGGTATTAGTATTGGTAAACTTAGATAGTTGCTCAACAAATTGGCATATATAAGACATAAATAAAGACAGTGTTGTTCCCTCAAACACCTTCCTCTCTCCAATGGCATATCAAGTCTCAGTTATCAACTCTTTCTACTGTTCTGCTGACTCTATCACTCTACAGATTAATACTGAGAAAGGAGTCACTTACAATGAAAACAATGATCGTCTCTTTTATATGAACGATACTTTTTTCACACTTCACAACCGTCGTGTCTTATATGATGATACACAAAAACCCATTGTCACCTTCTACAGAAAGGTTTGCTTTCTCATTTATAATCATACTCAATTTAATTACTTATTTGTTTCATATTCGCCCACCTACAAAAATAATCTTAAAATTTTCCTTTTAGACACTAAACTTAGCTAGGTGTTATAACTATGGCTCTCTGTTTTGGTAAAACACTTAGAGTTTTTTTGTGTTTTTTCTTAGTCTTATCAATCTTATATTAACTCCGTCAGACTTATATTTTTTTTCTTTCTAAAAATAATATATTTTTCTACTTTTCTATTTCATATTGTTGTTTATTTTTTAATTTATTAGTGTAAAATAGATATATTAGATTAGTTATGAAGCATAGATCAATTCTGCTACCACTATAATATACACTAATGTAATACATTGAAGACAAATTAGATTGGTTATGGAACAACCGATCCAATATCTAAAATAGAATTTTTTAAATAACAGTAATTATCAATGTTCATTTTAAAACCTTCATTGTCCTCATCTTTGATTTTGGATTCAAATATATCTCATTTTTATTTAAAGAAAGAATGTGCAAAGAATAATAATGATGTCGTTGGGAAGAAGACTTTGTAGATCTAATGAGACAAACACAAAAAATAAAAAAACTCCATGATCGAAAGCAAAAGAGATCGAACGGATTTTTATTGTAGTTGTGCAAAAATAGTGAAACTAAATCTAATATCTTTATCAATGTAACTTGGTGACCAATGGGTGGATGAGCTTGAACAATGAAAGAAAAAGAGATGAAAATGGAGATAGGACGCGACAACAACAACATAAAGTTTCATATCCAAAACCCTAATAACAAACGACGGTGGTAAATACCACGAGTTGAAAAAAGAAGGAAGAAAAAGAGAATAGTACAGTGTTTAGAAAAGAAAAATAACCGTGAGGAGCATAAACGGAGAACACGAAGAAAAAAATGATTTTTGCATAGTAATATTAGATCAATTTCTTATTTAATACCCATTAGATCAGTTCTCCTTGCAATCGATCAAATATTTACATATTTCCTATAATCGATCTAATATACTTCATTTTATTTACAAAAATTTTACTGTATTTTTTAATGAATCATTCCACTACAACAGATTTAATATTATATTTTAATATGTCGATTTTTGGTGATTAATTATTATTTGACCTTAGTTATTTGTATTAATATTTATTATATTATTAACTACATTTGTTCTGGAGTGTATATTTATTATGAATTGATTGTGATAAATTTTTTGGATATTTTGATATTCTGATTTCTTTAATATTCATATCTTATTATTTTTAATTAATCTTGATTGACAAAATTTGCATGTGTATAGTTACATTATCCATGTTATTCTTATTCTTAATTAATTTCCATTATGCAGGCTGTGACGTTGCATGAGCGATGCAAAGTTTTCAAGGGTGAAAGCACTGATTCATCTCAATTGCTATTTTCTGTGAAGAAAATCAATAAATCAAGCTCACATGGGATTACTAAATTAAACGTGTTCCTCGCAAACAACCAAGACAAAAAGAAAAGTGACTTTAGAGTGATCATTTGTGTTATTAAAAGCTCTTGTACAGTTTATATCGGAGAGTCTCCTAATATTGTAGCTAAGGTATGGTTACTAAATTAGTACATCTTTTTATGTGTTAGTAATTTTATTTTCTTATAAGTAGTAAAATTTAAATATTTTACATTAAAGAAATAAATTTAAGCTTAACTCAATTTCATTAAATAGAAGTTCAGCAAATTCAGATTTATTTTTATTCATGTGTTATAAATAATCCATCAAAGATATTATACAAGTATATCAAATATGATAATCAATATGACTTAATAATCAAATATTAATTAAAATAGATTTTAAATTACTTTAATATCATAATAAAGTAATGGAATTTAGACATAATTCAGCTTCACTACACTAATTCTTCAGTAAGTTAGAGATTTGTTCTTAATTAATAACATGCGTATTTTTGTCCGTAATGTAGATGGAGAATAATGGTGGCTTCAAAGTCTTGGTCTATCCCAACGTGGACTACGCATTCATAGTGGCACTGCTTATGATTGTCAAGGACGTGAAAGTTGGTATTCAAATTGCTCCAGGCATAAAATTGATTTCGTCAGTGGTATCGGCTACATTAGGCGACTAAATAAATGTGTATCGTATAAGAAAATCAAAGGAAAAGTGAGGAAATACATTTCTATTATGCTGTATATGACTATTCCTATTATCCTTTATTATATCAATGATAGCGAAGTTATTGGCAATGGCAGATTCAAGATAATAGTTTGGGGTGCAAAAATAAATGTACAACAATTTTTTAGGTAACCAAACAAATAAAATAAGCTAAAATTAAAATAAAATTATTTTTATATACATATTTATTTTATATATGAAAAATAAAAAATTGGTAGGGCCAATGTCCCTTCACCCACACTTGAGCTCCGCCATTGGTTATTGAGAGTTTATAATAGATAAGAAATCTGTGGGCAATGTTTTTTTTCTTACCATTTCTTGTAATAACAAAACCAACGACACAGTTTTGTAGATAAAAAAAAATAACTTACGGGTAGGAAAAACTTATCATAAATTTATTCATATCAAGAATTACCAATAAGAGTTTATATGTGTAACTTTACTCACGAATTATTCTTTAAATAACTTAGTTATAGGCAAGTTATCTATGAATAAGTTATTTATAGAATAATTTTTTTATAACATACTTACAACATATTCATGAATTTTATTTATATAAGTGGATAACTTAACTATCTACAACATTTCTTTTAGTTAAATTTTGCATGAACTTTTTTCAATTACTTTTCTCAGTCATTATTTTCCATTTCATCTTTCTTATAAGAGTCTCAATCAACTTTTGTATATCCTTTATATCCAACCTTCCGACCTTTTTTCTTTTCTGCATATTTATTCATGCAATTTTCTTTCCTTCTGCTTCACACCCGCACAAAATTATTTTTGTATTTTCCACCAGATTTAGGGTCTTGCAAAAGATATATAAGAAAAAGAAAGATGTGCAATTATTACTGATTTTTTTAAGTATGATATGAGATTGTCTCTTGTTGAGTTGCAATGAGTTATAGTTACATGTAACGAGAGATGATAGAATATCCTCGTTGTATGACATCATGAAAACATTAAACAACTTTACAGTGTTCATTAAATGATTTTCCTTCTTTTCCAAATCAATAAACCAGTCAATCTCCTATTGAGTTTCAATGAGCTCAACCCCACCTTCAAATAATACCATTAATAACTCATACTTTCTAATTGAAATGTTTTAATATTTAATAAATTATCAAAATAAAAAATATACGTAAATCCCTGTCCTTAAATATTCATCTTTCATGAGAGTAATTTTGGTTGTGACAGAGTTGAATTCAAAATTCTTGAGAAATATTTATAAAGGTATAGATTTACTTCCTCTTCTGATAATTTGTAATATATTCAACATTAAAAGATTTTAATTGGAAAGTTACTCTTTCCAGAGTCTATTTTAATTGGAAAGTTACTCACTAGAAACAAGAGGCAAAATATTATATTGATTTAGAAAATAGGAAAAAACATTTAATCAATAAAATCTAACTTTGAAATGTCATTTTGAAATGTCATTTTTATTAGATTTAAAATGTTAAATTGTTAATTTTTTCATAATAACAACACAAGGAAGATATTCTATTAATCTCATACATTTGTCATGTGTAATTGATTTTCATACCTTAAACTGAGATATTAGAGTTCATACTTGTATAAAAAAAAGAATAAAATTCTTTGACACACCTAAATATTTTACATTCATTTGATATTACTCTTATTTATTTTTTATTTTCTTTTTTTTGAAACAATATAAAAGTTATTGATCATTTTATTCTTATAGTCTGTATTAAATGAATGTAAAAATGTGTCATGTATCATTACTCATAAAAAATACAATTACTTCTATGTGGGTTGTATAATACATGGGATTTTGATCAACAGGGTGTGTAAAATAGGAGAAACAATAGTTGTAAAAGGTATGACAGCATACAGAGAAAGAAAAAATAGAGAAGAGAAAGGAAACCTTCAGAAAAGGTAGGCAGCTTTTTTAATAATTGTTTTCGGTGTCTCTTTCTATTCCACAACCGTGCTATATATGCACTTTGGCATTCACAAGCTAATAATAAAATAAGATCTATTCATTTGTGACACTTTTCCCTAGGGGTGGGCAAACTGCACTATTTGCACTGCACTATAAATCTATTACAATTAACTATAAAATAGTTTAAAAAAACTGAACTGCACTAGAAAATAGTTCAATAAAACTGAACTAAACTATTTTTTAGTTCAGTTAACTACAAAACAATTCAGTTAACTAAAAATATAAAATGTCTAAAATTTGATTCTCATATTAAATATAGTTTAATTTAATAATATAAATTTGTTTATATATTATTTTATATAGATTAAAAACTTAATCTCTAAAAAATATTTCTGTTTATCTCTGTTTTGCGTTATTCGAAATATTTTTATTTTGACAATTATCTAGTTTAATATAAAAACTCTCATATCTTTTCTCTTCTCACCTTTTTCTGAATTCTCATATATATATATATATATATATATATATTTCCTCCTTCTTCTCCTCATCTTTAACTTTTTCCTTTAACTTTCGCAAAACTTTCCGTTCTTTCTCCCCACATTTAAATTTTTGAACTCAACAAAACTAGTTACAACAAATTACAACATACAAAAAAATAAATAAAATTTTCACATTGCCAAATATCAAATATTTCAAAAAATTAAAATTAATAAACTTTTAAGATAACTTCCAAAGTATACAACAAAAACCATTAAATACATACCCATAATAAATAATATTTTAAACCGTAAACCTATAACATACAAATCAATAATACAAATACATAAATATATAGACAAAATAAACAAATGTTATAGAACATATTTCGACATAATAGTTTTAAAAAATGTAAGTATAGCTAAATATCAAATAATAAAAAAATATTAACTATAAAAAACACTTAAAAAATGTAAAACGAATCAATTAAAATAAATAAACATATCATAACCAATTAAAAT